TTACTCAATTAAACTCAATTATTAAAAGGCATCGATTCTAAATTTCTTTCTCAGATTCTCAGAAATATGGTAGAAGGAAGACGACGTAGAGCAGGAGGGTCCAAATAAAGAGTGAAAGCATCAGATGTGTGGAAGCATTTCATATTAAAAGTCAATGAAAATGCAGTTGACTCTCAGTATTGCAATGCAAAAGTTAAATACAGTATCACCACAGCAGGACTGCAATACAATTATATCTTAAAATAAGGCACTCGGGTTAAAGGGCTCACCCACTAATGCGAGGTTAGCTATAGATGTGCCATTTAGCCACTGAGAGTAGCTTAGTTTGTTTTAGTCCTAAAATTGACTTAAATCATTTTAATGTGCCAAAATATTATCTCCTATACAAAGGTTAGTGCCATAACTTAGCAGAATCATCTCATATAATACAGTACATAATAGCCACATAATATTAATCATGTTTTGTGAATGTATTGTGTATTAGGGCTGTATAGTGGAAAAAGTTCACATCTGAAGTTTTTGTGATATTGAAGTGATAAAAGTTAACTATCAAGCAGAAATTATTATCGACCAACAGCAGACATAAAGCAATCCTGACAAATCACTTGCTTTTCCTCAATATTGATTCTGTGGGATACAGAATATTTCCAAACACCTGAAGATGAATGTCTTTGAATGTCTTTTCACAGCCAGTTTTTGTTTCCCTTTTTCCATTTTACTCATGTTTGTTTAATCTCTCACAAATTCGTCACATGGTCCATGAGTGAGTACAACAACAAGGACGAGAATGATTATGATTGTCTCGGAGAGTGCGTGCAGGGCACATATAACAAGCAGTGTCGCAAAACATTAGACTGATTTTCCTTTTTAACATCTACTACATCATTTTCACAAGAAACCATGATTAAATTTGCAAAGCTTGCTAAGTTATGTTTCTTGTGACTGAGGAAATGTTTTTTAATGGAACTTACACATGGTTTGAACCCAGCAGACTATTGCAGTCTCTGCAATGTAACAATTACTTAAGCATGAAATGCCAAATCAATATTTTAACATTGTGCTTTGTGCAAACCTAATTGAGGACGGCACAGTGTCACTATGGATACTTGGTGTAATCATCAGATTACTCACTAGATATTTGGTATAATTGATAGTGACGACCCAAGAAACAATGTATTCATACTGTTTTTTTCCCTTTTCAGGCCAAGAACGCTCTGGCCCACGCTGCGCAATCAGCTCGTCATGACTGTGACCTCCTCAGAGAGCAATATGAGGAGGAGC